GCACCCGCGGCACCACCGCTGCTGCTGCTGTTGCCCCCACACCCGTGCTGCTGGCGCCGCCCCCTGTGGCTGCTGCCGTCATGTTCCGCCACTTGTCCTGGGGGGGGGGGATGGGGGGGAGATGAGGGGGAAAGACATTTCAGGGGGGGTGGGCGGGGGGGGCCGAGAGAAGGGGGGGGGTTTTGAGCAGAAGCGAGGAGAGGAAGGAGTGAGGCGGCCGGTGCTGTGGCTGCTGCCGTCTTGCTGCAGCACTTGCCATGGGGAGGTAGAGGGGGGCTTGGGGAGGGGAGGCTGGAACAAAAGGAAGATGGGGAGAGAGGAAAGGGAAGGGGGGGAGAAAGGGAGGGGGCGGGCGGAAGAGGGTGGAGAAGTGGAGGGTGGGGGTGGGGCGGAGAACAAGGCGAGGCGTGGCACTGTGCGTGATGCGAGGGGCGGTGTGATGCGCTGCCGTGGACGGACGGTGCAGTGGGCGCTGGTGGAACGGGCCACACACACAGACAGAGCAGCAGGCATGAGCGCAGCGCGCACCTTGAGGTCGACGTTGGGGCGCACCTTGAGGTCGACGTTGGGGCGCACCTTGAGGTCGACGTTGGGGCGCACCTTGAGGTCGACGTTGGGGCGCACCTTGAGGTCGACGTTGGGGCGCACCTTGAGGTCGACGTTGGGGCGCACCTTGAGGTCGACGTTGGGGCGCACCTTGAGGTCGACGTTGGGGCGCACCTTGAGGTCGACGTTGGGGCGCACCTTGAGGTCGACGTTGGGGCGCACCTTGAGGTCGACGTTGGGGCGCACCTTGAGGTCGACGTTGGGGCGCACCTTGAGGTCGACGTTGGGGCGCACCTTGAGGTCGACGTTGGGGCGCACCTTGAGGTCGACGTTGGGGCGCACCTTGAGGTCGACGTTGGGGCGCACCTTGAGGTCGACGTTGGGGCGCACCTTGAGGTCGACGTTGGGGCGCACCTTGAGGTCGACGTTGGGGCGCACCTTGAGGTCGACGTTGGGGCGCACCTTGAGGTCGACGTTGGGGCGCACCTTGAGGGGGGGGGCCTTGAGGTCGACGTTGGGGCGCACCTTGAGGTCGACGTTGGGGCGCACCTTGAGGTCGACGTTGGGGCGCACCTTGAGGTCGACGTTGGGGCGCACCTTGAGGTCGACGTTGGGGCGCACCTTGAGGTCGACGTTGGGGCGCACCTTGAGGTCGACGTTGGGGCGCACCTTGAGGTCGACGTTGGGGCGCACCTTGAGGTCGACGTTGGGGCGCACCTTGAGGTCGACGTTGGGGCGCACCTTGAGGTCGACGTTGGGGCGCACCTTGAGGTCGACGTTGGGGCGCACCTTGAGGTCGACGTTGGGGCGCACCTTGAGGTCGACGTTGGGGCGCACCTTGAGGTCGACGTTGGGGCGCACCTTGAGGTCGACGTTGGGGCGCACCTTGAGGTCGACGTTGGGGCGCACCTTGAGGTCGACGTTGGGGCGCACCTTGAGGTCGACGTTGGGGCGCACCTTGAGGTCGACGTTGGGGCGCACCTTGAGGTCGACGTTGGGGCGCACCTTGAGGTCGACGTTGGGGCGCACCTTGAGGTCGACGTTGGGGCGCACCTTGAGGTCGACGTTGGGGCGCACCTTGAGGTCGACGTTGGGGCGCACCTTGAGGTCGACGTTGGGGCGCACCTTGAGGTCGACGTTGGGGCGCACCTTGAGGTCGACGTTGGGGCGCACCTTGAGGTCGACGTTGGGGCGCACCTTGAGGTCGACGTTGGGGCGCACCTTGAGGTCGACGTTGGGGCGCACCTTGAGGTCGACGTTGGGGCGCACCTTGAGGTCGACGTTGGGGCGCACCTTGAGGTCGACGTTGGGGCGCACCTTGACGAGGTCGACGTTGGGGCGCACCTTGAGGTCGACGTTGGGGCGCACCTTGAGGTCGACGTTGGGGCGCACCTTGAGGTCGACGTTGGGGCGCACCTTGAGGTCGACGTTGGGGCGCACCTTGAGGTCGACGTTGGGGCGCACCTTGAGGTCGACGTTGGGGCGCACCTTGAGGTCGACGTTGGGGCGCACCTTGAGGTCGACGTTGGGGCGCACCTTGAGGTCGACGTTGGGGCGCACCTTGAGGTCGACGTTGGGGCGCACCTTGAGGTCGACGTTGGGGCGCACCTTGAGGTCGACGTTGGGGCGCACCTTGAGGTCGACGTTGGGGCGCACCTTGAGGTCGACGTTGGGGCGCACCTTGAGGTCGACGTTGGGCGCACCTTGAGGTCGACGTTGGGGCGCACCTTGAGGTCGACGTTGGGGCGCACCTTGAGGTCGACGTTGGGGCGCACCTTGAGGTCGACGTTGGGGCGCACCTTGAGGTCGACGTTGGGGCGCACCTTGAGGTCGACGTTGGGGCGCACCTTGAGGTCGGTCGACTTGGGTCGACGTTGGGGCGCACCTTGAGGTCGACGTTGGGGCGCACCTTGAGGTCGACGTTGGGGCGCACCTTGAGGTCGACGTTGGGGCGCACCTTGAGGTCGACGTTGGGGCGCACCTTGAGGTCGACGTTGGGGCGCACCTTGAGGTCGACGTTGGGGCGCACCTTGAGGTCGACGTTGGGCGCACCTTGAGGTCGACGTGGGGCGCACCTTGAGGTCGACGTTGGGGCGCACCTTGAGGTCGACGTTGGGGCGCACCTTGAGGTCGACGTTGGGGCGCACCTTGAGGTCGACGTTGGGGCGCACCTTGAGGTCGACGTTGGGGCGCACCTTGAGGTCGACGTTGGGGCGCACCTTGAGGTCGACGTTGGGGCGCACCTTGAGGTCGACGTTGGGGCGCACCTTGAGGTCGACGTTGGGGCGCACCTTGAGGTCGACGTTGGGGCGCACCTTGAGGTCGACGTTGGGGCGCACCTTGAGGTCGACGTTGGGGCGCACCTTGAGGTCGACGTTGGGGCGCACCTTGAGGTCGACGTTGGGGCGCACCTTGAGGTCGACGTTGGGGCGCACCTTGAGGTCGACGTTGGGGCGCACCTTGAGGTCGACGTTGGGGCGCACCTTGAGGTCGACGTTGGGGCGCACCTTGAGGTCGACGTTGGGGCGCACCTTGAGGTCGACGTTGGGGCGCACCTTGAGGTCGACGTTGGGGCGCACCTTGAGGTCGACGTTGGGGCGCACCTTGAGGTCGACGTTGGGGCGCACCTTGAGGTCGACGTTGGGGCGCACCTTGAGGTCGACGTTGGGGCGCACCTTGAGGTCGACGTTGGGGCGCACCTTGAGGTCGACGTTGGGGCGCACCTTGAGGTCGACGTTGGGGCGCACCTTGAGGTCGACGTTGGGGCGCACCTTGAGGTCGACGTTGGGGCGCACCTTGAGGTCGACGTTGGGGCGCACCTTGAGGTCGACGTTGGGGCGCACCTTGAGGTCGACGTTGGGGCGCACCTTGAGGTCGACGTTGGGGCGCACCTTGAGGTCGACGTTGGGGCGCACCTTGAGGTCGACGTTGGGGCGCACCTTGAGGTCGACGTTGGGGCGCACCTTGAGGTCGACGTTGGGGCGCACCTTGAGGTCGACGTTGGGGCGCACCTTGAGGTCGACGTTGGGGCGCACCTTGAGGTCGACGTTGGGGCGCACCTTGAGGTCGACGTTGGGGCGCACCTTGAGGTCGACGTTGGGGCGCACCTTGAGGTCGACGTTGGGGGCGCACCTTGAGGTCGACGTTGGGGCGCAGGGCGCACCTTGAGGTCGACGTTGGGGCGCACCTTGAGGTCGACGTTGGGGCGCACCTTGAGGTCGACGTTGGGGCGCACCTTGAGGTCGACGTTGGGGCGCACCTTGAGGTCGACGTTGGGGGCGCACCTTGAGGTCGACGTTGGGGCGCACCTTGAGGTCGACGTTGGGGCGCACCTTGAGGTCGACGTTGGGGCGCACCTTGAGGTCGACGTTGGGGCGCACCTTGAGGTCGACGTTGGGGCGCACCTTGAGGTCGACGTTGGGGCGCACCTTGAGGTCGACGTTGGGGCGCACCTTGAGGTCGACGTTGGGGCGCACCTTGAGGTCGACGTTGGGGCGCACCTTCTGGATGGCGCGCCACTTGCTTGGGCCGTACTTGTCCACGCCCGCGCACAGCGCGCCCTCCTCCTCCGCCGTCCACTTCAGCTTCGGCGCGCCCATCGCCTGGCAGACGTCCCTCACACGCGCAGCGCGAGGGCTGCGGGGAGGGCGGGCAGTGTTGGCGGCGCTGGTGGACTGCCAGCAGGCGGCGGAGAGCGTCCCCGAGGAGGCTGCGCGCACCTGCTGCAGCGACGGAACAAACGCAGGGGGAGAGTTAGGCGCGGATGCGGCAAGCGCGGATGGTGTGGCGGGGCTAGCCCAGGTGGCGCGCGACCCTGCCAGTCAATCGTCGCTGCGGTTGGTGGGGAGAGGGGGAGGAGGAGGAGGAAGACGGCGGCAGACACGGAGCCGGGGGAACGACGGATACCGAGGGGCGCCACACGCGATAGTGGCGTGGGGAGAGGCGTGCCAGCCAGGCCGCACCTCGACTCTTCGAAGTGCTGCGCCGCTCGCCAGCTGCCGACGCCGTCAACCGGGTGAGCGCACGGCGCTGCGCGGAGGGCTGAAGGGGCGGAGGGCGCGGAAGGGGCGGAAGGAGTGCCGTAGAAGAAAGTTAAGAGTGACACCAGCGGTGCGGTGTCGGTGGGTGGTGCGGCGCGCGATGATGGCGCGGAGGGTCGACGACTGGCACAGCGCACGACGCGGGCGCGATGCGATTTTGGCGCGAGGGACTTGAGGTGGAGGAAACGAGTATGATGCATCCGTGTGTGTACGAAACGAAAGCCATAAACGACATTGGAAAGCGAAAGAAACGAATGTCACAGAGCAGATTCGGGTAGCTCTTAGCGCGTATAGGTTCGTAGCTCGTTCTCCACGGTGCAGTTCGGTTTATGGAGTTTCTGGCGTGTTTCTGTGTGCGTTAGAGAGCCTAGTGTGCTGAAGCTTTCGACAAATCTGGGATTGAAGGTGCCCTTGGCGCAATGATCAATTTGCGACCAGAGACTAGAGTCTGAAGCGAGCGTTGCGGGGATAAGTGACCAGCGTGGCCAAGGACGTGCATTGCATCGCGCTCCACCGCCACCGCCATCACCGTCGCGCTGCTCCGTCCAGCGCTCTCAATTGTGCCCTCACGCGTATCGTCAGTGCCTTGTCGCTTGCCTGTCAGCGCTGTGCGACGCCCGTCGCTGCCTCTGTCGCCCGTCGGAGCGTCGATCGCCATGGCGCTGGACGGCGCCGCGCGGCCCCTCGGCGCGGAGCGGGCGGGCGATCAGACGGTGTGGCGCGCCGCCGATGCCGCCCTCGCCGCCGCTTGCGCCGGTGAGCCGCTGATCGCCTTGCGGGCGATCGCCGCCTTGAGCCGTCGCATGCCGCCTTGAATCGTCGCATGCCGCTTCGAATTCGCGAATTTACCAGATGAGCGACGCACCACGGAGTGCGGCATGGCATGCCTTCCGCCGATTCCCCTTGCCCCGTGGACCGTCCCATATCACTTTTATCGCGCCATGCCGTGCCGTGCCGTACGTCAAACCGCCTTCGCTACCTCTCCCTTGCCGTCGCGGTGGCTCTCCCGCCCTCATCCCATCCCCTTCAAACTCGCCCCTCTCCCCTCCCTTCCCCTCCCCGCTCTCCTCCCCTCTCTCCTCCCCTCTCCCCTCTCCCCTCCCTTCCCCTCCCCTCCCCTCCCCACGCCCGTGCACCCCAGAGCTGTCGTGGGGCGAGCTGGTACACGGGGAGAGCTTCAGCCTCTTCGAAGCCATGGCGGCCCTAGAGGTGCGCCCCCTCGCACGCCGCCCCTCGCCTCTTCTCCGCGCCTCCCTGCGTTCCGTCCTGCTGCCTCGTATCCGCCACGGGGACAGCTTCAGCCTCTTCCCCCTCTCAACTCGTCTGCTCACTCCCTTCTCTCCTCGCGCCCTCTCCCGCACTCTTGCCTGCATTCTCTGCCTCACTCCGCTGCTTCGAGCCTTCCCTTGAGCGCACTGCCCTCCCTTGAGCGCACTGCCCTCCATTGAGCGCACTGCCTTCCCTTGAGCGCGCTGCTCTCCCTTGAGCGCACTGCCTTCCCTTGAGCGCGCTGCCTTCCCTTGAGCGCACTGCCTTCCCTTGAGCGCACTGCCTTCCGTTGAGCGCACTGCCTTCCCTTGAGCGCACTGCCCTCCCTTGAGCGCACTGCCCTCCCTTGAGCGCACTGCCCTCCCTTGAGCGCACTGCCTTCCCTTGAGCGCGCTGCCCTCCCTTGAGCGCACTGCCTTCCCTTGAGCGCACTGCCTTCCCTTGAGCGCACTGCCCTCCCTTGAGCGCGCTGCCCTCCCTTGAGCGCACTGCCCTCCCTTGAGCGCACTGCCTTCCCTTGAGCGCGCTGCCCTCCCTTGAGCGCGCTGCCCTCCCTTGAGCGCACTGCCCTCCCTTGAGCGCACTGCCCTCCCTGGAGCGCGCTGCCCTCCCTTGAGCGCGCTGCCCTCCCTCGAGCGCGCTGCCCTCCCTTGAGCGCGCTGCCCTCCCTTGAGCACACTGCCCTCCCTTGAGCGCACTGCCTCCCCTTGAGCGCACTGCCTTCCCTTGAGCGCGCTGCCCTCCCTTGAGCGCACTGCCCTCCCTTGAGCGCGCTGCCCTTCCTTCAGCGCACTGCCCTCCCTTGAGCGCGCTGCCTTCCCTTGAGCGCACTGCCTTCCCTTGAGCGCACTGCCTTCCCTTGAGCGCACTGCCTTCCCTTGAGCGCACTGCCTTCCCTTGAGCGCACTGCCCTCCCTTGAGCGCACTGCCTTCCCATGAGCGCACTGCCCTCCCTTGAGCGCACTGCCTTCCCTTGAGCGCACTGCCTTCCCTTGAGCCCGCTGCCTTCCCTTGAGCGCTCTGCCTTCCCTTGAGTGCACTGCCCTCCCTTGAGCGCGTTACCTTCCCTTGAGCGCACTGCCTTCCCTTGAGCGCGTTGCCTTCACTTGAGCGCACTGCCTTCCCTTGAGCGCACTGCCTTCCCTTGAGCGCGCTGCCTTCCCTTGAGCGCATTGCCTTCCCTTGAGCGCACTGCCTTCCCTTGAGCGCACTGCCTTCCCTTGAGCGCACTGCCCTCCCTTGAGCGCACTGCCCTCCCTTGAGCGCACTGCCCTCCCTTGAGCGCACTGCCTTCCCTTGGGCGCGCTGCCCTCCCTTGTGCGCACTGCCTTCCCTTGACCGCACTGCCTTCCCTTGAGCGCGCTGCCCTCCCTTGAGCGCACTGCCCTCCCTTGAGCGCACTGCCTTCCCTTGAGCGCACTGCCTTCCCTTGAGCGCACTGCCCTCCCTTGAGCGCGCTGCCCTCCCTTGAGCGCACTGCCTTCCCTTGAGCGCACTGCTCTCCCTTGAGCGCGCTGCCCTCCCTTGAGCGCACTGCCTTCCCTTGAGCGCACTGCTCTCCCTTGAGCGCGCTGCCCTCCCTTGAGCGCCCTGCCCTCCCTTGAGCGCGTTGCCCTCTCTTGAGCGCACTGCCCTCCCTTGAGCGCACTGCCATCCCTTGAGCGCGCTGCCCTCCCTTGAGCGCGCTGCCCTCCCTTGAGCGCGCTGCCCTCCCTTGAGCGCACTGCCCTCCCTTGAGCACGCTGCCCTCCCTTGAGCGCACTGCCTTCCCTTGAGCGCACTGCCGTCCCTTGAGCGCGTTGCCTTCCCTTGAGCACACTGCCTTCCCTTGAGCGCACTGCCTTCCCTTGAGCGCACTGCCTTCCCTTGAGCGCACTGCCTTCCCTTGAGCGCACTGCCTTCCCTTGAGCGCACTGCCCTCCCTTGAGCGCACTGCCTTCCCATGAGCGCACTGCCTTCCCTTGAGCGCACTGCCTTCCCTTGAGCGCACTGCCTTCCCTTGAGCCCGCTGCCTTCCCTTGAGCGCTCTGCCTTCCCTTGAGTGCACTGCCCTCCCTTGAGCGCGTTACCTTCCCTTGAGCGCACTGCCTTCCCTTGAGCGCGTTGCCTTCACTTGAGCGCTCTGCCTTCCCTTGAGTGCACTGCCCTCCCTTGAGCGCGTTGCCTTCCCTTGAGCGCACTGCCTTCCCTTGAGCGCGTTGCCTTCCCTTGAGCGCACTGCCTTCCCTTGAGCGCACTGCCTTCCCTTGAGCGCACTGCCTTCCCTTGAGCGCACTGTCTTCCCTTGAGCGCACTGCCCTCCCTTGAGCGCACTGCCTTCCCATGAGCGCACTGCCTTCCCTTGAGCGCTCTGCCCTCCCTTGAGCGCGCTGCCCTCCCTTGAGCGCACTGCCTTCCCTTGAGCGCACTGCCCTCCCTTGAGCGCGCTGCCCTCCCTTGAGCGCCCTGCCCTCCCTTGAGCGCGTTGCCCTCTCTTGAGCGCACTGCCCTCCCTTGAGCGCACTGCCATCCCTTGAGCGCGCTGCCCTCCCTTGAGCGCGCTGCCCTCCCTTGAGCGCGCTGCCCTCCCTTGAGCGCACTGCCCTCCCTTGAGCGCACTGCCTCCCCTTGAGCGCACTGCCTTCCCTTGAGCACGCTGCCCTCCTCTGAGCGCACTGCCCTCCCTTGAGCGCACTGCCTTCCCTTGAGCGCGTTGCCTTCCCTTGAGCGCACTGCCTTCCCTTGAGCGCACTGCCTTCCCTTGAGCGCACTGCCTTCCCTTGAGCGCACTGCCTTCCCTTGAGCGCACTGCCCTCCCTTGAGCGCACTGCCTTCCCATGAGCGCACTGCCTTCCCTTGAGCGCACTGCCTTCCCTTGAGCGCACTGCCTTCCCTTGAGCCCGCTGCCTTCCCTTGAGCGCTCTGCCTTCCCTTGAGTGCACTGCCCTCCCTTGAGCGCGTTACCTTCCCTTGAGCGCACTGCCTTCCCTTGAGCGCGTTGCCTTCACTTGAGCGCACTGCCTTCCCTTGAGCGCACTGCCTTCCCTTGAGCGCGCTGCCTTCCCTTGAGCGCATTGCCTTCCCTGAGCGCACTACCCTCCCTTGAGCGCGTTGCCTTCCCTTGAGCGCACTGCCTTCCCTTGAGCGCGTTGCCTTCCCTTGAGCGCACTGCCTTCCCTTGAGCGCACTGCCTTCCCTTGAGCGCACTGCCTTCCCTTGAGCGCACTGCCTTCCCTTGAGCGCACTGCCCTCCCTTGAGCGCACTGCCTTCCCATGAGCGCACTGCCTTCCCTTGAGCGCACTGCCCTCCCTTGAATGCGCTGCGCTCCCTTGAGCGCACTGCCTTCCCTTGAGCGCACTGCTCTCCCTTGAGCGCGCTGCCCTCCCTTGAGCGCACTGCCATCCCTTGAGCGCACTGCCCTCCCTTGAGCGCGCTGCCCTCCCTTGAGCGCCCTGCCCTCCCTTGAGCGCGCTGCCCTCTCTTGAGCGCACTGCCCTCCCTTGAGCACACTGCCATCCCTTGAGCGCGCTGCCCTCCCTTGAGCGCACTGCCCTCCCTTGAGCGCGCTGCCCTCCCTTGAGCGCACTGCCCTCCCTTGAGCGCACTGCCTTCCCTTGAGCGCGCTGCCCTCCCTTGAGCGCACTGCCCTCCCTTGAGCGCGCTGCCTTCCCTTGAGCGCACTGCCTTCCCTTGAGCGCACTGCCTTCCGTTGAGCGCACTGCCTTCCCTTGAGCGCACTGCCCTCCCTTGAGCGCACTACCCTCCCTTGAGCGCACTGCCCTCCCTTGAGCGCACTGCCTTCCCTTGGGCGCGCTGCCCTCCCTTGTGCGCACTGCCTTCCCTTGACCGCACTGCCTTCCCTTGAGCGCGCTGCCCTCCCTTGAGCGCACTGCCCTCCCTTGAGCGCACTGCCTTCCCTTGAGCGCACTGCCTTCCCTTGAGCGCACTGCCGTCCCTTGAGCGCGTTGCCTCCCCTTGAGCGCACTGCCTTCCCTTGAGCGCACTGCCGTCCCTTGAGCGCGTTGCCTTCCCTTGAGCGCACTGCCTTCCCTTGAGCGCGTTGCCTTCCCTTGAGCGCACTGCCTTCCCTTGAGCGCACTGCCTTCCCTTGAGCGCACTGCCTTCCCTTGAGCGCACTGCCTTCCCTTGAGCGCACTGCCTTCCCTTGAGCGCACTGCCTTCCCTTGAGCGCACTGCCCTCCCTTGAGCGCACTGCCTTCCCATGAGCGCACTGCCTTCCCTTGAGCGCACTGCCTTCCCTTGAGCGCACTGCCTTCCCTTGAGCCCGCTGCCTTCCCTTGAGCGCTCTGCCTTCCCTTGAGTGCACTGCCCTCCCTTGAGCGCGTTACCTTCCCTTGAGCGCCCTGCCCTCCCTTGAGCGCGTTGCCCTCTCTTGAGCGCACTGCCCTCCCTTGAGCGCACTGCCATCCCTTGAGCGCGCTGCCCTCCCTTGAGCGCGCTGCCCTCCCTTGAGCGCGCTGCCCTCCCTTGAGCGCACTGCCCTCCCTTGAGCGCACTGCCTCCCCTTGAGCGCACTGCCTTCCCTTGAGCACGCTGCCCTCCTCTGAGCGCACTGCCCTCCCTTGAGCGCACTGCCCTCCCTTGAGCGCACTGCCTTCCCTTGAGCGCACTGCCTTCCCTTGAGCGCATTGCCGTCCCTTGAGCGCGTTGCCTTCCCTTGAGCGCACTGCCTTCCCTTGAGCGCACTGCCTTCCCTTGAGCGCACTGCCTTCCCTTGAGCGCACTGCCTTCCCTTGAGCGCACTGCCCTCCCTTGAGCGCACTGCCTTCCCATGAGCGCACTGCCTTCCCTTGAGCGCACTGCCTTCCCTTGAGCGCACTGCCTTCCCTTGAGCCCGCTGCCTTCCCTTGAGCGCTCTGCCTTCCCTTGAGTGCACTGCCCTCCCTTGAGCGCGTTACCTTCCCTTGAGCGCACTGCCTTCCCTTGAGCGCGTTGCCTTCACTTGAGCGCACTGCCTTCCCTTGAGCGCACTGCCTTCCCTTGAGCGCGCTGCCTTCCCTTGAGCGCATTGCCTTCCCTGAGCGCACTACCCTCCCTTGAGCGCGTTGCCTTCCCTTGAGCGCACTGCCTTCCCTTGAGCGCGTTGCCTTCCCTTGAGCGCACTGCCTTCCCTTGAGCGCACTGCCTTCCCTTGAGCGCACTGCCTTCCCTTGAGCGCACTGCCTTCCCTTGAGCGCACTGCCCTCCCTTGAGCGCACTGCCTTCCCATGAGCGCACTGCCTTCCCTTGAGTGCACTGCCCTCCCTTGAGCGCGCTGCGCTCCCTTGAGCGCACTGCCTTCCCTTGAGCGCACTGCTCTCCCTTGAGCGCGCTGCCCTCCCTTGAGCGCACTGCCTTCCCTTGAGCGCACTGCCCTCCCTTGAGCGCGCTGCCCTCCCTTGAGCGCCCTGCCCTCCCTTGAGCGCGCTGCCCTCTCTTGAGCGCACTGCCCTCCCTTGAGCGCACTGCCATCCCTTGAGCGCGCTGCCCTCCCTTGAGCGCACTGCCCTCCCTTGAGCGCACTGCCCTCCCTTGAGCGCACTGCCCTCCCTTGAGCGCGCTGCCTTCCCTTGAGCGCGCTGCCTTCCCTTGAGCGCACTGCCTTCCCTTGAGCGCACTGCCTTCCGTTGAGCGCACTGCCTTCCCTTGAGCGCACTTCCCTCCCTTGAGCGCACTACCCTCCCTTGAGCGCACTGCCCTCCCTTGAGCGCACTGCCTTCCCTTGGGCGCGCTGCCCTCCCTTGTGCGCACTGCCTTCCCTTGACCGCACTGCCTTCCCTTGAGCGCGCTGCCCTCCCTTGAGCGCACTGCCCTCCCTTGAGCGCACTGCCTTCCCTTGAGCGCACTGCCTTCCCTTGAGCGCGCTGCCCTCCCTTGAGCGCACTGCCCTCCCTTGAGCGCACTGCCCTCCCTTGAGCGCGCTGCCTTCCCTTGAGCGCGCTGCCTTCCCTTGAGCGCACTGCCTTCCCTTGAGCGCACTGCCTTCCGTTGAGCGCACTGCCTTCCCTTGAGCGCACTTCCCTCCCTTGAGCGCACTACCCTCCCTTGAGCGCACTGCCCTCCCTTGAGCGCACTGCCTTCCCTTGGGCGCGCTGCCCTCCCTTGTGCGCACTGCCTTCCCTTGACCGCACTGCCTTCCCTTGAGCGCGCTGCCCTCCCTTGAGCGCACTGCCCTCCCTTGAGCGCACTGCCTTCCCTTGAGCGCACTGCCTTCCCTTGAGCGCGCTGCCCTCCCTTGAGCGCACTGCCCTCCCTTGAGCGCACTGCCTTCCCTTGAGTGCGTTGCCTTCCCTTGAGCGCACTGCCTTCCCTTGAGCGCGTTGCCTTCCCTTGAGCGCACTGCCTTCCCTTGAGCGCACTGCCTTCCCTTGAGCGCACTGCCTTCCCTTGAGCGCACTGCCTTCCCTTGAGCCCGCTGCCTTCCCTTGAGCGCTCTGCCTTCCCTTGAGTGCACTGCCCTCCCTTGAGCGCGTTACCTTCCCTTGAGCGCACTGCCTTCCCTTGAGCGCGTTGCCTTCACTTGAGCGCACTGCCTTCCCTTGAGCGCACTGCCTTCCCTTGAGCGCGCTGCCTTCCCTTGAGCGCATTGCCTTCCCTGAGCGCACTACCCTCCCTTGAGCGCGTTGCCTTCCCTTGAGCGCACTGCCTTCCCTTGAGCGCACTGCGTTCCCTTGAGCGCACTGCCTTCCCTTGAGCGCACTGCCTTCCCTTGAGCGCACTGCCCTCCCTTGGGCGCGTTGCCTTCCCTTGAGCGCACTGCCTTCCCTTGAGCGCACTGCCTTCCCTTGAGCGCTCTGCCTTCCCTTGAGCGCACTGCCTTCCCTTGAGCGCACTGCCCTTCCTTGAGCGCGTGGCCTTCCCTTGAGCGCACTGCCTTCCCTTGAGCGCACTGCCTTCCCTTTAGCGCACTGCCCTCCCTTGAGCGCACTGCCTTCCCTTGAGCGCACTGCCTTCCCTTGAGCGCACTGCCTTCCTTTGAGCGCACTGCCCTTCATGCTGCCCTTCCTTCCAATCATGCTCACTCCTCCCTCCGCCCCTCCCCCTCTCTGCGCCCCTCTCCCTCTCTGCGCCCCTCCTGCCCGTCCCCCCTCCCCCCGGCAGATGATGGACCCCAAGATGGATGCGGGCATGGGGGGAGGCAGGGGGGGAGGCAGGGTCGCGGGCAGCGGGCATAAAGGGGGGAGGGGCGAGGCGGAGAGTGTGGGGGAGGCGGTGGAGCGGGGGCTGCTGCCACTGCCTCTGCCAGCAGACCGGCTTGTGGACCTTTGCGACTCGCTGCTCTGCGCCCAGGTGTGCTGGGATGGGATGGTATGGGATGGGATGGGCCCAGATGCGCTGGGATGAGGCTTCCATGGGGCATGCATTGCCCTGTTGTGGCCTCTCTCATCCCCCGTGTTACATTTCCCCACCAGCCGCCAACCAGTCTCCCCCATCCACGCCGCGCCCCCAGCGCCGCTGCACAGCACCGGCTCCTTCCCGCTCCGCATTCCGCTCCAACTCCCGCCTGCCATGCCCGCTCTCCCTCCATCTCGCCTCACCGATCTCCCTCTCCAGCCACTGCCCCCCCTCCCCTCTCACACCCCTCGCCCTTCCCATTCCGCTCTCCCATTCCGCCCTTCCCATTCCGCCCTCCCATTCCGCCCTCCCATTCCGCCCTCCCATTCCGCCCTGCCATTCCGCCCTCCCTCCCTCCCCCTCTCCCCTTCCTGCTGCGCCCCCCCACCTCCCCTGGTATCCCCCCACCCCCCCCCAGGCGACGTGGCACAGCGGGCACAGCCTGCCGCAGACGGTGTTCACGTGCGCGTACCTGCTGCTGCCGCCGCTCGCCCCCCATGCCTGCACGCCCCCGCTCTCGCTCTCGTCCTGCCCGCTGCTGCTCGCACTGCTCTCCGCGCTGCTCGCCACCCTCAACTGTGTGCGCTCCGCCGCCTGCTGGGCCGACCAGCGCGAGGTGGGGGAGGGAGAGGGGAGGGGAGACGGGGGAAGGGGGGGGGGGAGAGGGGGGGGTGAGGATTTGGGAGGGAATTGGGATGCAATGAGTGGATGTAGAGAGTAGGGCGTCGGGAGAGGCATGTGCAAGTGGAGGGTGTGGCAGGCGTGGGATGATATGTGTGCTGCAAAATATGTCTGCGCCACCCCTCATCACCGCTCACCATCGCTCTCTGCCCTCGCACTATCATCTCCTCACCTCAACTTGTTTCTAATACCTCCCTCCTCAGTGCCCTTGTCTGTCCCCTTCCCTTCTCCCCTCGTCCCCTTGTCCCCTTCGCCAACTCTCTCCACCACCCCTGAGTGCGCTTGTCCTCTCTAGCTGCACGCCCCTCTCCTCTCACCCACGTCCCACCCCGCCTCCTGCCACTCGCCTTCTCGCCCCCGTGGCCCGGTTTCTCCAGGAGGAGGACTTTGTGACGTCAGCGGGGGGGCTGCCCCTGGAGGGGCGCGTGGGGGAGGCGGCCGTGGCGCCGCTGAGGGCGCTGCTGGGGGCCGTGGAGGGGGTGGCGCGGGGGGGAAAGGGGGCGGGGACAGGTGAGGAGTGGGGTGGCGGGGGGAGAATAGGGGCATCGGGGACAAGGGGGATGCGGCCTTGGCGCCGCTGAGAGTGCTGGTGGGGACTGTGGAGGGGATGTGGGGGGGGAAGACGGGGAGGGGGACAGGTGAATAAGGGGAGATGGAGAGAGGGGTTTGGCAAGGGCAGAAGGGCGTGGGGGGCATCTGCAGGGGGTGGGGACCGCGGAACCCGGGCAGGCAATGGGCGGGGCACGCGAATGCAGGGACCCGTGGGAGCGAAGGAGGAGAGGGGGGGGGTTGGTTCGTTAGGGAAGGAGGGGGGATTGTTGGGGAGGGCGAGCAAGGTGAGGAGTGCGGCAGAAGGCCGCATACCCATGCTGCTTGGCCTCCCTCCCTGCGTCCTCATCCCCTCCCATCGCTGCTGCCCAATGCCATGCCCATGCTCCCCAATGGCAGCAGCCACGCAGGCCGTGGTGGAGGACGAGCAGGCGTTTGGGTGCCAGCTGCACGGGCTGCCCCCGCAGCTCCTGGCCGCCCTGCTGGCGCGCATGCACTTCACACTGGTATGTCACTCCCGCCTCCCCGCCCTCTTACCCCGCCCTGCCTCTTCTGCCACTGTCTCGCTACCCCCGCCCCAACCATCTGCCCCGCCTGCCATGCTGCCACAGCCCCATGGCGCCATCGCACCGCCACCTGTCTCTCTGCCTCTCATCGCCATCTCCCCGCTCGCTTCTCCGCCCTCCGTCTCATTCCCCCAATCCTAGAACTTCCAACCGCGCTCTCCCCCTAACGCTCACATCTTCTTCCCGACCCCTTTTGAGGCGCCTCAAAAGTCTCCCCCTAACGCTCACACCTTTTTCCCGATCCCCCCCCGCCAACCCCAGGCTCTGTTTGACGTGCTCTCCGCCCTGCAGGCGGCCCGCCAGCCCGCCCACCTGCCTGCGTGTGCGCTCAAGGTGCGCGCCGCCCAGCAGGCGCTGCACCGCCTCACCGCCACGCCGCCCCCCCTTGCACGTCCTGCTGGCGCTGGCAGCAGGATGGAGCATCCTGAGGGGGCGGGAGGGGAAACCCAGGCAGAGCAAGGGAGTGCCGCCCACACCGCATCCGGGCGGGCGGCGGTGGGCATGTGCCCCGCCATTAACAGACACCTGCTGCCGCCCACGCCACCGCGATCAACGCGCTTGCTGACATGGCAAGAGGTGCGTTTGCTGCTGTTGTGGCAATAAGCAGGGTGCCATGGGCATGTGAGGAGTCAGCCGTTGCCGCGACAGCAGGAGCACTTGCTCGTGGGGCAACTCGCTCCTCCCCTGTGTCATTCCCTGTCATTCCCTGTCATTCCCTGCCATTCCCTGTCATTCCCTGTCATTCCCTGTCAGCTATGCACATGACTCGCAATGCACCATACAACCCTCTTCCCTCGCCTCCACTCTAGCCCTGCTCATTCACCCGCTGTGTGCTGCCGCCGCCTCCCTCGCCCCTCCCTCGCCCCCTCCCTCCCCCGCTCCCTCGCCCCTCCCTGGCAGGCCTTGGACCACGTTTCGCGCCTGCTGGCGCACCTCGCCCTCATCTGCCACATGCCCGCGCGCTCGCCGCCCGACCTGCTGGCCCTGCATCGCTTCCTCGCGCACTTCCGCTCCGCCAGGCCCGGCCCTGTGGCGCGCGCATCGCTGCAGGTGCGCCCTGCTGGGGAGTGGAGTGCTTGAGCCCGGGTGACTGGAGAATTGCAGAGTGGCGTGATATCTGTTGGTGGAAATGGTGGGTGTTGAGTGGCTCGCAGGGTGGAGGGGTTGAGGGAGATGTGCTGCAGGGCAGTGTGAGCGAGGGCCCTGCTGTGGGACTGATACACGGGGGACTGATGGCGGCTTGGTGCAGTGATATTGGCCATGGACCATGGCTGCCCCTTGCTGCCACCCGCCTCCTGCCCTGCTCGTGTAACCGCCTCCAATGCTGGCCGTTTCAGTTGATTTAAAAAGGTTTGGAAGCCTCTTCCCGTGCATGCGTGGCAGTCTGCACCAGCCACAGCGTGCTGTTGCGTCAGGTCAGGTCAGGTCAGGTCAGGTCAGGTCAGGTCAGGGATCTGCATGCGGCCCCCCTTCCATGGGTCCCGCTTCCATGGGTCCTGCTTCCATGGGTCCCGCTTCCATGGGTCCCGCTTCCATGGGTCCCGCTTCCATGGGTCCCGCTTCCATGGGTCCCGCTTCCATAGGCCCGCTAACGGGCAGCACTGAAAGCACTCAAGGGGTTTGGTTCGTGGTTGGCCTGCATGCTTTTCCACGCGAGCACATGGCAGAGCCAGGTGCTCTCATTCCAACACGTACAGCCCCGATTCGCTCGGCCCTGCTGCCATTGGGAACCATGGCACCCTTCAGCATGTGGGTCGCAGCTAGAAGGCTGCTCTGGAAGAGGAGGGAGTGTGCAGGTCATGCTGCATGCGAGCATGCACTTTCGTATTGGGAAACATGGCGAAGCAAATGAGCGGTGCAGCGTTGAGAGCACCTATGATCCCTGGGTCCTCTGCTGTGCTTTGCCCCAATGGCACCTGCTTGCTCCGCCCTCTCCGCCCTCTCCACCCTCTCCGCCCTCTCCGCCCTCTCCGCCCTCTCCACCCTCTCCGCCCTCTCCGCCCTCTCCGCCCTCTCTCTCATCCTGTCCTCCTTTCCTGCTGGCTCCTCTCTTCCTCACTCTCTGGCGCCCTCTCCGCCCACATGGTAGGGCACTCTCATCCCTCCCATCCCGCCCACATGGTAGGGCACTCTCATCCTTCCCATCCCGCCCACATGGTAGGGCACTCTCATCCTTCCCATCCCGCCCACATGGTAGGGCACTCTCATCCTTCCCATCCCGCCCACATGGTAGGGCACTCTCATCCTTTCCATCCCGCCCACATGGTAGGGCACTCTCATCCTTCCCATCCCGCCCACATGGTAGGGCACTCTCATCCTTCCCATCCCGCCCACATGGTAGGGCACTCTCATCCTTCCCATCCCGCCCACATGGTAGGGCACTCTCATCCTTCCCATCCCGCCCACATGGTAGGGCACTCTCATCCCTCCCACCCCGCCCACATGGTAGGGCACTCTCATCCTTCCCATCCCGCCCACATGGTAGGGCACTCTCATCCTTTCCATCCCGCCCACATGGTAGGGCACTCTCATCCTTCCCATCCCGCCCACATGGTAGGGCACTCTCATCCTTCCCATCCCGCCCACATGGTAGGGCACTCTCATCCTTCCCATCCCGCCCACATGGTAGGGCACTCTCATCCTTCCCATCCCGCCCACATGGTAGGGCACTCTCATCCTTCCCATCCCGCCCACATGGTAGGGCACTCTCATCCTTCCCATCCCGCCCACATGGTAGGGCACTCTCATCCCTCCCACCCCGCCCACATGGTAGGGCACTCTCATCCTTCCCACCCCGCCCACATGGTAGGGCACTCTCATCCTTCCCATCCCGCCCACATGGTAGGGCACTCTCATCCTTCCCATCCCGCCCACATGGTAGGGCACTCTCATCCTTCCCATCCCGCCCACATGGTAGGGCACTCTCATCCCTCCCACCCCGCCCACATGGTAGGGCACTCTCATCCTTCCCACCCCGCCCACATGGTAGGGCACTCTCATCCTTCCCATCCCGCCCACATGGTAGGGCACTCTCATCCCTCCCACCCCGCCCACACTCGTCCTTATCCAACTCTCTCACACGCTCTCCTCACTCGCACGTCCCTTTCTTCTCCCCTCTCCCCCCCCAGCTGCTGCTGCTGCGGGACGGCCGCATATTGGGGCACGACCCCTTGGAGGTCGTCATGCACGCGCTGCACCTCCCTCTCGCGCTGCTGCCAGCTGCTCCACGCACGCAGCAACAGGAGGGGCAGAAGGGGCAGAGTGGGGCGGCAGGTGCAGCAGCAGGTGGTGCCTCGGCTGCGGCGTTGACGCCGTTTGTGAGCAAGGCGTCACATGTGAGTGAGAGGACAGGGGCGCTGGGGTGAAACAGAGAAAGACGGATTAAGGCTGAAGCCCACCACATAGTGGGGCCTGGGTTGCTTGAGACAGAATCACATGCTCCCCCTGATGGAGAAACACCCTCACACAACTGTATGCTTGAGACACTCTTTCCCGCCCTTCTTGTTCAAAACCTGGATTGGGCGCTTCTTATTAGCACTCGCCGCAGAAAAGCCAATCTTCTTGTCCCTCCCACACCAAACCATCTCAGCACTCGCGATCCCCGCTCGACCCTCCCTCCGCCCTCCCCCCTGCAGGCAGTGCAGGCGGTGCTGCGAGCGCTGTGCGCCAACGGCGCGCGGGAGCGGCGCATGCTGGGCAAGCTGCTGCCCGACTGGAACCGCCTGCTCACTCTGGTACCGTGCTGCTCACTCTGGTACCGTGCTGCTCACTCTGGTACCTTGCTGCTCGCTCTGGTACCGTGCTGCTGGCTCTGGTACCGTGCTGCTCACTCTGGTATCGTGCTGCTCACTCTGGTACCGTGCTGCTCACTCTGGTACCGTGCTGCTCGCTCTGGTACCGTGCTGCTGGCTCTGGTACCGAGCTGCTCACTCTGGTATCGTGCTGCTCACTCTGGTACCGTGCTGCTCACTCTGGTACCGTGCTGCTCACTCTGGTACCGTGCTGCTCACTCTGGTACCGTGCTGCGCGCTCTGGTACCGTGCTGCTGGCTCTGGTACCGTGCTGCCTCCCCCTGCCCCCCCCCTTCACCCCCTGCGCCCCTCCTTTCCCCCCTGCCCCCCTCCTCCCACTGCCCCCCTCCTTCTCCCCCTGCTCCCCTCCTTCTCCCCCATGCCCCCTAATTCTCCCCCGTCCCCCCTCCTACTCCCGCTGCCCCCTCCTTCTCCCACTATCCTCTGCCTTCTCCTCCTGCCCCCCTCCTCCCACTGCCCCCCTCCTTCTCCCCTGCCCTCCTACTTCTCCGCCTGCCCCCCTCCTCCCCCTGCCCTCCTTCTTCTCCCCCAGCCCCCCTTCTCCCCCTGCCCTCCTACTTCTCCCCCTGCCCCCCTTCTCCCCCTGCCCCCTCCTCCCCCTGCCCCCCTCCTCCCCCTGCCCTCCTCCTCCTCCCCGTGCCCCCCTTCTCCCCCTGCCCTCCTACTTCTCCCCCTGCCCTCTTAATTCTCCTTCTTCCCCCTCCTCCTCCCCCTGCCCTCCTACTTCTCCGCCTGCCCCCCTCCTCCCCCTGCCCTCCTACTTTTCCCCCTGCCCCCCTTCTCCCCCTGCCTCCCTTCTCTCCCTGCCCCCCTTCTCCCCCTGCCCTCCTCCTCACCTTCCCTCCTAATTCTCCCCCTGCCCCCCTCCTTCTCCCCCTGCCCTCCTACTTCTCCCCCTGCCCCCCTCCTCCTCCCCCTGTCCCCCTACTTCTCCCCCTGCCCCCTCCTTCTCCCCCTGCCATCCTACTTCTCCCCCTGCCCCCCCCTTCTCCCCCTGCCCTCCTACTTCTCCCCCTGCCCCCCTTCTCCCCCTGGCCCCCTCCTCCCCCTGCCCTCCTACTTTTCCCCCTAGCCCCCTTCTCCTCCTGCCCCACTTCTCCCCCTGCCCCCCTTCTCCCCCTGCCCTCCTACTTCTCCCCCTGCCACCTGCGTCTCTCCCGAGATTCTTGAGTGGCTGCTGCTGTGTGCGCTCTAGTTGGGGAGAGGCAGTGAAGGGCAAGGCTATTTCGGCGGATCGCTCTGTTGTGTGAGGTGCTGTAGACGGAGCGCCACGGCTTGCCATGTCTCGGAATGGTTGGTGCGCACTGGGATCGTCCCGCAGTGGAGTGGGGGAGGGCTGCAGGTTCGACCTGGGGGGCAGTGGGTGAACTACCCACCCAACACGCATGCCCGTTTAACCCAGTCGCTAGCAGGCTGGGCGGAGAGGAACAAGTGTGCATGATTGCTGGTGTGATTGCTGGTGTGATTGCTGCTGTGATTGCTGCTGTGATTGCTGCTGTGATTGCTGCTGTGATTGCTGCTGTGATTGCTGCTGTGATTGCTGCTGTGATTGCTGCTGTGATTGCTGCTGTGATTGCTGCTGTGATTGCTGCTGTGATTGCTGCTGTGATTGCTGCTGTGATTGCTGCTGTGATTGCTGCTGTGATTGGCTGTCCCACCCACAACACCCATCGTCCCATGGACCTGCGCCATTCCGTGCCTTGCATCCCGCCCGTGCAGGCGGGCGACGTGGATGCGTGTGATCCCGTGGTGCACGTTGCCACGGCCACCTTCTCTCAGGTAATTCTTCAGGTCATTCAACAGCTCGTATCGTCTTCATCTGTGCAGGAAATTTCTCTGTTGATGTATCTGGTGATGGTGATGGTGATGGTGATGGTGATGGTAACGTACTCTCAGGCGTTGGCGCGCACCACTCAGGACCAGAGCATCAGTGTGTGCCACGGAGCCGTGGTTCATGTGAAGGCGCATGGGTGCACGGCTGGAAAAGGTGGCCGCTGTCTCACATCCCTCTCCCTCTCCCTCCCTCTCCCTCCCTCTCCCCCCTCTCTGTCCGCCGCGCTAACGGCCAGCAGGGGTGGTGGCGGGAGAGCGTGGCGACGAGCTGGGTGGTGGAGCACACGTGTCGCATTGTCATTCGCTACCTGCTGCTCGGCTTCTCCACGCGCCTCTACGCGCCCTCCGAGTTCCTCCCCGCCTTCTGGTGAGCTCCTCCCCGCCTTCTGGTGAGCTCCTCCCCGCCTTCTAGTTAGCTCCTCCCTGCCTTGCACATGGTTTCCAGAGTGGACATGGAGTGAAAACGGGCTTTCACGTGGCGTTGAGTTGATGCAAGAGTCGTTGAAAGGGGCGCGTGCCCAGCGTTGTGCTTTCAGTGCTCGGGGGACTCACAACACACGGAATTGGGCCTCACTTGAGAGTCATGCATGCACCATGGCGCATGGGGCATGGCGCATGGGGCATGGCGCATGGGGCATGGCGCATGGGGCATGGCGCATGGGGCTTGGCGCATGGGGCTTGGCGCATGGGGCTTGGCGCATGGGGCTTGGCGCATGGGGCTTGGCGCATGGGGCTCGGCACATGGGGCATGGCGCATGGGGCATGGGGCATGGGGCTTGGCGCATGGGGCATGGTGCATGGGGCATGGCGCATGGGGCTTGGCGCATGGGGCTTGGCGCATGGGGCATGGGGCATGTCGCATGGGGCATGGCGCATGGGGCATGGCGCATGGGGCTTGGCGCATGGGGCTTGGCGCATGGGGCTTGGCGCATGGGGCTTGGCGCATGGGGCTCGGCGCATGGGGCATGGCGCATGGGGCATGGGGCATGGGGCTTGGCGCATGGGGCATGGTGCATGGGGCATGGCGCATGGGGCTTGGCGCATGGGGCTTGGCGCATGGGGCATGGGGCATGTCGCATGGGGCATGGCGCATGGGGCATGGCGCATGGGGCATGGCGGATGGGGCTTGGCCCATGGGGCATGGCGCATGGGGCTTGGCACATGGGGCATGGCGCATGGGGCATGGCGCATGGGGCTTGGCGCATGGGGCATGGCGCATGGGGCTTGGCGCATGGGGCTTGGCGCATGGGGCTTGGCGCATGGGGCTTGGCGCATGGGGCTTGGCGCATGGCGCATGGGTCTTCGTGCATGGGGCTTGGGGCTCGGCGCGCGTGTGGGGCATAGTGCATGAGACATGGGGCATGGGGAGTGGATGGTTGCAGGTGTGGTGCGAGAGTCAACATCTGGGAATCAGAGGTGCAGTTTCCATGCACTCTGCCCTTGCTTCTTCTTCTTGTTTCCGGCCTGGCATCTGTGCCACTTTGATTGTGCATGCATGGTTGTGTCGTTGCATGGTGGTGTGGTTGGATGGGTGGATGATTGCATGCATGACAATATGCTATGCACATGGCATGGCATGGCGTACCACATGCCCTGCACAGGTACGTGGACAGTGTGTTGGCCACGCTCATTCACAACGTGTCGGCCCGGGAAGCTGCCATGCAGAAGCCCTCCACAGGTGTGCCTCACGCCCTCGTGTCTCCTTCGCTGCATCGCTGCACCCATCCGTGCATGCGACTCACACCTTCCACAGCCTGCATGCGTGCATCCCCGCCGCGTCCCCTGTGCCTCGCGTCACTGTGACGACTTGTTCCTCTTCAATCCGCCGCTCCACCATTCCTCAATCGCATCTTTACTCCTCCCACTGCAATCCCCCCTCGCCCCCTCCCAGCGCCTCCCTCCCGCAAGGCCCGTCGCAAGCCGGCTGCCCCTCCCCACGCTCCCTCGCCCCCGCCGCCGTCGCTGGACCTGGCGCTGCTCACCACGTACCAGCTCATGTGCAAGGGCTACGTGCGGGTGAGAGCTGTGTGCGGGCGACATGGTTGTAGGGTCTGTGTGCGGGCGACATGGTTGTAGGGGCTGTGTGTGGGCGGCAGGGTTGTAAGGGCTGTGTGCGGGACAGCTGCAAGGGCGCTCCAACTTCTCTCCTTACCTCCACATTGTATCTCCTTCCCATGCTCCCCCTTCCTCCCGCTGCTCTGTGTCATCCTCTTGCTTCACTGCCCCCTCTCCCCATTCCACCGCCTAGCCCCCCATTAACCCCCCCATCAACCCCCCTCATCGCCCCTCAGCTGCTGGCGGCCTTCTCGCTCGATGGCAAGCTGCCCCACCGCCCCTCGCCCTTCAACGCTGACCGCCAGGTGCGTGCACGGATGGTGCTCTGGCAGGGTGCAGGCATGCAAGCATGCATGGTTCAAGCATGCGTGGTGCAAGCATGCATGGTGCAAGCATGCGTGGTGCAAGCATGCATGGTGCAAGCATGTGTGGTGCAAGCGTGCGTGGTGCAAGCATGCGTGGTGCAAGCATGCGTGGTGCAAGCATGCCAGGTGCAAGCATGCCTGGTGCAAGCATGCGTGGCGCAAGCATGTGTGGCGCAAGCATGCATGGCGCAAGCATGCGTGGCGCAAGCATGCGTGGTGCAAGCATGCGTGGTGCAAGCATGCGTGGTGCAAGCATGCGTGGTGCAAGCATGCTTGGTGCAAGCATGCGTGGTGCAAGCATGCATGGTGCGCTTCCAGGGTGCGTGTAGAGGGCTGGATGTGTGTGTGGGTGGGTGAATGGGTGGGTGGGTGGGTAGGTGAATGGTGAATTGGATCTGGGTTCAGTGGGTGATGCATGCAGTGCATTCATCTCCGTGGCGCTGCACCATCTCTGCATCCCTCATGCATCCCACTCTGCACACTCCTTCACCCTTCTCCATCCCCGCTCTTACTCACCACCGTCCTTCTAATTCCTCCCTCTCATTCTCCCTCCAGCGCTACAACCAGCGCTTTGCGGTGCTCAAGCGAGTGCAGCTGCCGGAGCCCCTCTCCTACGCCGCCTTCCACCGCTCCGTCTCCCCCGCTGGCCTCTCCGTATGTCCTCTTCCCCTAACCCCCCCTCTCCATGCTCTCTGCTCTCTGCTGTCTCTCGGTGGCCTCCGCGGCGCCCTCAGTCGTCCCGTGCTTCCCTCCATCTCACTTGAGGCCTGTTCCGCTTTTTTCCTCTCCCACCGTCCTCACCCGTCTCTTCCTCTCCTTGGCACTGCCCCCAACCTCCGAGCTGCCCAAAGCACCAGTGCGAAAGTGTTCTGCTGCCTGTTGTTCTCCACACTCTTCCCTGCTCCCCCACCTCCCACAGGTCCCAGAGCTCTACCAGATGGCACTGGACCTGTTCCGCTCTGCTGCTGGCCAGCTGCCCAACATCCAGGCACTAGCAGATGCGGCAGCCGGCGGTGATGCGAGCAGCGACCCCGTGGTGGCGGAGCTGGAGCAGGTGCAGCGCGTGTGCGCCAGCAACTGCACCGCGCTTTTCGTGGCGCACAGAGCCGGCGCTGGCTCAGTGCTCAAGGTCTCCTTTGAGTTCAACGCCCATCCTTTCTTTCCCGTGGTAGCTCTCAAGCGTGCATAGGCGAAACATTTGCTGAATGCTTGCCACTTGCACAGGATACAGCCGTGCTTTTTCTTCCAACAGAATTTTAGGGATTTTGAAGTGTATCCCAAGGCCTGCCCCAGATGCCATCCTGTAACTTGATCTGATCACAGGCCATATTATGAAGGGCAAAATATCCTGATGAACCTTGCCAGCGGTCATTTTTTTGGAGTATACCGTATTTTCCTATATTTAAGATCCTGAAAAAATAAAGCCCCAGTGGGGCTTATTTCCGGCAGGTGATGCGAGGTAGGAATGGGGGTCTAGCCTATTCGGTTGTGCCATCTGGCAGGGAATCCAGTCCAATTTCCCTCCAGCAGTTCGTCATCCAGTTTCGATGCGAAAAAACGCCGACAGGGAAACGTGAAACAGGGAGGGTAACACTTCAACTTTTCCAAATACCTTATATATTTCAACCCCTCGTTTATTTTATTAACCTACTCAGTAGCACCACGTGGTCTTGCTTCTAAAACTATACAAGACTACGTGGTGCTATATCCGGGCAAATATGGTACTTCGAGATTGTAAGGGTTAAAAAGAATATTCAGCTCAAAGTTGCCCCCTACACGCATACAAATCAGGGTGTAACCATATAAATACCCTCAACCAATATATCCCAAAACCAATTCTTGGCCCTGGTCTGATGTGCCAGTAAGTTTACTGTTCCACATCCACAATTCCAAATGCGGGAGAATTCAGATATTTCGGGGCTCGTGTCATCCGGGCGTCTGGTCATCACTTGCCCAATTTAGGAAGACCCGATGTTTCGACATGCTGGCAAATGATGACCCGAAGCTGGGATGACACGAGCGCCGACTTTTCCCTAATTGTGAGAAGGACCTGGATTCCAGGTCCTGGAATCAAAGGTGTCCTTCCGAAACGCCATGCACGATCATTTCAGAATCAGAGCTCTCAAAATGGTGTGCGTGGACTTTGAGCCAGTGACAAAATTCTATGGCCTGATATTTCACCATGATGTGGCTGACCTGGCGGGCGGAACCCAGAGGTACGTTGAGAATGGTAGAGCAATGAGCAGATGGTTTGGGTAGGGAGAGAAAGTGGGGTCTGGGAATATTCTTGTGAAAACCATCACCGTCATCCGCAGGTGTGCTGCTTGGCATAATCGGATTGAAGGGGAGCCAACGGTTATTGGCGTTAGTATTTGAATCCACATGAACCAGAATAAATGGAGGTATTTTACATCTTGAAAGTCTCGATAATCGTCTATTTCGAATCAGCAATTTGGTTCTTGAGGTCGTTGATCAGAGTCGCCAACTCCTTGCGGCTCGCCTGCCATCACAACACAGATGGCTTGAGCCGAGATACTGACGCCACGCAAAAAACTCTTTGTTCAAACCATAGTTGCTACTGCAAAAAATCAAGTTTTTCCATCTGGTCTGTTGGGAAGCTCACCTCGAACAGCAGGTAGCGGTAGACGAACCAGCCACCGTAGATGGTGCCGACCAGCTTCAGGAAATCCGGGACCTGCAGGCAGATGTCTAGGTTTTAGGATCCGCTGCATGAAGAGAAGGGAAGGGGTGCAACCGGAGAGCGCGGCCGCGAGTTCCTACCAGAGGCAGCGAGTCGATGGCTCCCATGACGGCGCTGGTGATCCACAACGCCAGCACGGCGCCGCCCGTATAGAGCAGCACGGTGGGCTTGTTCTCCACGGTATCCCACTGCACGGTGCAAGTAATGTTGAAGAAGGTCAGTTCATGGTGCAATCTAGAATCCTTACCTTTTCAGTGTCTCCTTACCTTGGCCTTCACCCCCGAAAAGGCCTCCAGAATCTGCTTCTGCGTTCCGCCGAGCTCCTCAGTCGACGACGCGCGGACGGCGAACTTCACCGCGCGGAAAGCTGCGGAATGAGCAAGTTTTGGACGTTAACCAGGCGAGCAGGGACAGCATGGCCATGCGCGGTGGAAACAGCGTCGTACCTCTAGCTGCGGGAGACACGCGGAGAGAGGCTCCCGTGAATCCGCTCCTCGCGGACACATTCCTTCTAGAGGCGGCGGCCTGGCAGGAGATGGCAGTGGAGGAGGCAGCGGCGACAGAGGCGACGGCGGAGGCCATGGCTGCTGTGCGATGTGCGGAGGAATGGAGGTTGATTGGCCTGGTCGGGAGGTGGAAGGAATTCAGGGGGAGAGGCAGGCTGGGTGTTGTGAGATGTCGCAGGGAGTTGCAGCAACGGCAGGCGAAACAGGCGAGGGATGGCAAGAGACGGGACCAGGCTAGGCGAGGCGCTGAAATGGGTGTGGGGTTTGCTGACATGGCTGGTCGACGCCAATGAAGAATCCCCTAGCAAGTGGGGAAGATCCGCGTCCACCATTCACGATCGAGAAGGATATATTCGTTAGTGTCTGAGCTGAGTCTTTTAACATAACAAAAAATCATATTAAACAACGCCGCATATTCTAATCTTTGTATACACGTATAGATAACGATAACGATAACATAGCCCATAAAATGAGGCAGGATGGAATAGGATGTACCGTATTCCCCCCAATATGACCCCTTATGAGCGTGTAGGGTGAATAGGAATCTCATGGGGTGGGCTAATAATCAAATTGAAAAGAAAAAAAACCACGAGGCTAATTTTACATACGTACATCAACAATTGTTTAACAAAAGAAGAGTGATCCTCCATGTGTTGTCTATCGAGTTCTGGTCAAAACGGCAGTTGTTCTGTTAAAGATCCATGTCAAGATGCCTCCCAAAGATTTGCAGTTCGTTTGTGTCGACGGAAGATGTTGTCACGATTGTAGGACTCTTCAAGACTCGACGTGCCGTAGAAAGGGTTGCGGAGAAGGGTAACTCCATTTCAGGATATAAAGCTTATTCTTTTACTGTTGCATATAACTGTTAAATTATATATGTTATATATAATTGGCTTAATAGGTGTTACTAAAACCTACTGTAGAGTGTACATGAGAGAAACAAACTAGAATGGGAGAATACAAGGTAATATAACCGAAAAGCTGTACCCTCTAAGACACAAACCTATACAGTCTATACAAACATAACAATATATGTTTGACACACCCCCTAGACTGTATAGGAGCAGTTCCTAACGAGAGAACGAGCAGCTCAGGGTGGCGCTACTAGTCCGACCTCTGAGGCCAGGATCTAAAGACCAGTCAAACGAGTACAGGCACAAGCCACAAGCAAAACCAGGGCGGCACTACTAGTCCAACCACTAGGAAGAGGCCACAAGGCCAATCGGAATAAAATATATAAAAAGTCTGTACACAGTCAAGGCCCTAGCAAGTGAGAGGCTGCAGGAATGCGACCTAGCTGTACACAGTGCCGCTGATGATCTTTAGGCGCAAGCGCCTTCGTAAAGATATCGACTGTGTTCGCACCGGAGGCCAAGTGTACTACGCGAGCCTGGCAGAGCTGCTGTAGCTCGCGCAGGAGGAAGTACCACAGCTGGATGTGCTTCGCTCTGCCCTCGAGCCGCGGCTCCTGACATAGGAGGATCATGGCCCTGTTGTCAGCGTACAGGACCGGGACAGAGCTAGGCCGCTCACCTAAGTCAGTGAGCAAGAAGGTCAGCCAGCGGAGCTCCTGTGCCGCCATGGCATCGGCGTAGATCTCGGCCTCACAGCTGGACTGGGCAACAGACGAGGAGCGAGTAGCTGGCCTGGGCCCTCCTAGCACTAACCCCATGCCCAATGTACTTGCAAGATAACGCAAAACCCTATTAGAGGCAAACCAGTGCCGAGGTCGGTGTCTGCCTGTGGACACAAAGCGAGCCAAGATGCTGAGAGGGTATGCGAGATCTGGGCGAGTGCAAGACATCAGGTACATGAGGCAACCCACCAGCTCTGCGTAAGGGCCATTGGGCTCTACTGACTCCTCAGGAACTGGAGCAGACAGCCTGTGGTCTACAGGCAAAGGGGTGGGCTGTGCAGAGGAGAACTGAAGGCCGAACCTTTGAAGGATCTGGTGCACCAAGTGTGACTGAGTGAGGGTGATGGTGTGCGCTGCTCTGTCCATGGAGATCTGCAAGCCAAAGTAGTGGCGCAGTTCTCCAAGGTCAGTGCAGGTGTGTCTCTTCAGCAGCTCTGCCTTCACGGAGGCCAGTGCGTCCCTCTCTGCAGTGGTGAAGACCAGGTCGTCTACGTAAACAAGGATGTAGAACGGAGTCTGGCCACCACGAACGAAGAGCGAGGGGTCTACAGAGGACAGAAAAAACCACAGGTCAGCAAGGGTAGTACGCAGCGTGTCGTGCCACTCACGGAGAGCCTGCCGCAGGCCGTAGACGGTGCGCCGCAGTAGCCACTGGGTCCCAGGAGGGAAGGTACCAGTGAAACCCTGAGGGCGGCGCAGGTGGACCTGCTCGTGTAGATTGCCCTGGAGAAACGCAGTGGAGAAGTTAGAGGGAGTGAAACTCGTAGTCACGCGAGGCTGCTACGTGTAGCAGCACCCAAAGAGTAGTCATCTTCGGGGTCGGAGCGAAATTCTGAAAGAAGTCTACCCCCTCACGCTGACTGAAGCCTCTAGCCACGTATCCCGCCTTGAATACAGGCGGCTCTCCAGGAGGGCGCTTCACCTTGAAGAGCCATCGGCCATCGACTACGTTTCGCCTAGATGGGGGAACTGCGTCGACGTAGGTGCCGATGGATCTCCAAGATGCCATCTCCTGCTCCATGGCAGCTATCCACTGAGAGGCCCAAGGTCCCGAGACCGCCTCAGCGTAGGTGCGAGGGGTCGGGATGTCGAAAGCGTCTGGGTCACCCTCAGGGACTAGCAGCATGGAACAGAGATGGGGAGCAGCCTCGGATAGGAAAGCAAGCTCGTACTGGCGGTCCTGTAGGACGTCACTGCCGAGGGCATGAGCACCCTCGACAAACGGAGGACAGGCATGGTCAGAGACCAGAGCGGTGGCATAGTCAAGGCGACGGGTAGAGGTGAACTCAGCGACCGTAGCGACAAGAGCGTCAAGACGCAAAACCGGAACAGACGGGTCGGTAACGAAAGAGGCAAGGACCTGAGGAACAAGAGGACGAGTGGCACGAAGGTAGTCAGACAGAGGGGGAGGCGCAACAACAAGGGAGGACGGAGGAGGCGACGGCAGGAGGGGAGGACGAGACGCGTGGGAACAAAGCAACATAGGGTGAGAGCGCGCGACAGGGGAGACAGGGCGAGCATGGGAGGGACGGCGAGACCAGACGTGAGAAGGAGGCGTCGGGTCAGGAGACAGAGTAGGAGACACAGGAGAAGAACGAGGGGGAAGACGAGCCGGAGATGAGTTCGGAGGAGGGAACACAGGGCCGTAGACAGGAAGAGGAGGGGACGGCAGGAGAGAAACAGACACAGGGTCAGGGGGTGGAAGGCCGAGCAGGCGAAGGGCTGACACCGGCGGTGACTGCGGCTGCGGTGGCACAACACCGACACCGGGGCCGCCAGCTACTCCACGGCTACCTCCGGAACACTCCACTCCTGCACCCCCAGAAGGAACACCCCCAGAGCCCGAAGCCCCTCGAACACCGGTACCACCCCCAGGCCCGCCGGGACAAGCCACGACAGGAACCCCAGGACTAGGACCCACCCCAATGGCAGCACCCCCAGAGTCAACGAACTGCTGTTGTGACGGCTGCGGCGACGGCGGCTGCAACGACGGCTGCGGCGGCGGCGGCAGCAGTGACGGCAGCTACGACAGCGGTGGCGACGGTGGCTGCAGAGGCGGCGGAGGAGGAGACACCTGGGGGACCTAGGACTAGAACGTGCTGTGACATGTGACACAGACGTGGGAGGGCAGAGTGACCTTGATAGTGGTGCCACAGTAGTGTTGGGTGAGTGAGGGACCGACAGGAGCAGGCAGCAGCAACCTGGGTAGACGCAGACACCTGAGGGGATATCCCAACCGGGGGGGGTCGCGATGTCCAGTGTGAACAGTCCAGACATCGGGTCCCGGGGGAACGTGGTGAGGGGAGCACCAGTGTCAGCCTCGGTACAGACAACGTACCTCTCGTGACCAGGAAACGGAGTGGTGACACCAAGGTCCTGGAGGCAGCCAACACCAACTAGGTTCCTGGAGAACGAGGGGATGTGCAGGCTGGTAAGAGAGCCTGAAGGAACCGCCGGATAGGGAAGGGTGGTGGAATTGCGGGCGACTATCGGGTCGGAGGAGGGGTCGGCAAGGGAAACTGCAGCAGGAGCAGGAAGCGGCGTCAGCATAGTGGAGTCGCGAAAGAAATACCGAGAAGTGCCAGAGTCCAAGGTGAAGGAGAGCGCGGCAGTGACGTCCGGAGTCTGAGCAGCGACAGAAGAACCAAGGCTAAACAAAGCACGAGATCCTACGCTTTACGCAGTAGGGGAGGCACGACTAGACACGCCTACTCTAGGCAACAAGGGGTAGTGAGAAGCAGTCACACTAGAGTCATCAGCATACATCACATGCAAGGCAACAACAATCTCATCCATGTCCATACAAAAAAACTGAATGCTACCGCAAAGCAAGATGTGCCAATCGGGGAGGTCGGGCAACGGGCCAAAGCGCTGACGAAACAGGTCGTCCAGTCGACGGAAATAGTGGACAGAGGTGTGGCCGATCTTACCGCAATCGAAGCCACGGCGAGGACCGGACTGAAACAGGTACTGGCTGCGCCCGTCACCCGAATCGCCACCCGACAGCCCACCACTCGCACGACCACCACGGCTAGCACCACCACCGGCGCTAGGCCACCCGGGCGGGAGACCGCCCGTCCGCCTTTGCTGCTGCGCCTGCTGCGGCTGGTGCAAGGGCTGCTGCTGCGGCTGGTGTGTGTCCAGCTGCGACACCTGCGGCTGCTGAGGCGGCTGCTCGGCTGCACATGTCAGGGTCCCCTCGTCAGCGCTACCACTAGGCAACCCGACTCCACCTGCACCGCCACCCCCAGCCTTGGGGCGGCGGTCCTTCCCGGAACGGATCTGCGCTACAGCTGCAGACTCAGCCACAGCAGCAAAACTGTCGAAGAAGGTGCACTGAGTGGGGGCACAACCCTGAAAGATAGGGACCGGCACAAAATCGCTGGTCTAGACGATAGAGCGCTGGCAGGTCTCTATGGTAGACAGGGTGTTGACAAAGTCAGTGAGGGTGAGGTCACCGAGGTGGATGCTCAGGAAGCGGTCGCGGGTAGTAGCAAGACGGTCAGGGAGGCAGGTGGCAAGCAAGTAGATGGTAGAGCAGACGGGCGGTTGAAAG